ACCACCGGCGATGACAACGGGCTATAATAAGCTTACGATAGGCTAAGGGCCTGTTTGAAAGTACCTTAGGGGYTGTTTACCAAACATTTACCYGGGTAAGCRCTTATCAAGTCACACAACCTTACCCGATGAATATGGTAAGGACCAAAAATCTTACCCGGTAAGAGCAAAACAAGGACCAACAGTCTTACCCGGTAAGTGAATGTAACGACTCTTAACACGATAAGTGCTTACAAGGTAAATTATTGCATAGGATGCCGTTTTGGTGGACCAAAATCTTACCCGGTAAGTAAATAGTATTGTTAAATTTACCGATAAGCACTTATCGGTAAGTGTTTGGTAAAGAGCCCCTTAAAAGGCTTAATGGCATGTATGACTTATTCAGTATGTCATGCATATATGTTTGGAAGCATCTTAATTGGTAAGTTGTTGGCTTATTCACTAAGCTCGTGGGTTACGCTTTTTCTGGTAAGCCATCCATTTTCCAAAGCCTACCCTTCTCAAATCATGCTTCCTTCTCTAAATAAAGGATCATTGATTCCCCCTATCATACAAGAATCATCTTCAACAAAAAAGCCTATTACCCATTTTCATTTCCCCTTTATATCTTGTAAAAACCCATTTTTTATTTTTCTGTGTCCTACAAAAAACCATTACCCATTTTTCATCGACACCTTTTCTTTGTGATGTATGAGAATAATTGGAATCTAGGGATGCTTTGACCAGTAGTTGGAACAAGGCAACACAAAATCCCAATCTTCATCACCACATGTTGTGTTCTATGTTTAGGAGTGTAATGGACGATTATCGATTGCTTGATCGATTGATTCTTTTATAACAAGGAAAGGTTACATTTCTATTTGTTTCCACTAAAAATTTATTAGCGCAATAAAATTGCTTCACTTTTTAATGCAACCTTTGTCCAAGAGATGGACATGAAAAAGGTTGGAAATTGGTTGTTTGATTCCATGTATCCATTGTTGAGGTTGGAGGAGACACAAAAGGAAACAAGAATTATGCTTTGTGGACGGGCTGAAGTTTCTATCTTTGTCCAACAATACAATATATTAGATAATGAAAATCTACCTTTTGAATATGTTTGTAATTTTTTTATTCTGTTTTTTTTTATGGTTTTTTATCGAAACTTTAGGTGTAATTTTTGTTCAATGTCAATACAACTCAAAGAATGCATATAAGAATGACAAAAGAGAGAAATCAATTATATTTGGGCTCTCATAAAAAAAGAAAAAGAAAATAACAATAGTAAAATCGTCATTTAAATCATTCAAACATTTCATTCAGTACATAAACAAACATTGATTCATATACATTTATTCAAACAACTTAATCTATTAATATAATTTAATTAATACAGAGCTTAATAGAAAAACAAGCAAACAACCCCTTAGCAAATTGCCTTGTTGACCTGTTTGTTTTAACATGTATTTGGATGTACATTTTTCAAAGTGGGTGTATCAGATCTTTAGTTAATTAAACTATGGTCTACATTTATAACTGATAAGAAATGGTAATACAAACTAAAATTAAAATGTAGTAATCTTATGGACCAAAAATTAACGTAGCCATTTTGTTCGTAGTGATGATGAATGAGTAAATAGTTAAGTTTTAACATCAAAAAATTTGGAAAAGAAAGAATGTTGCATTCTCTATCGGAGGGGTTCAAGCCTATTGTATATTTGAGCAAATGTGCTACACCCCTTTGATAGCTGAGCTACACGCCTAAGGGTTTTTTGTTATCCATTTAAATTAATTTTAACACCTTGCTCACCCGGTGCATTGCACGAGCACACTGTTATATTTAAATATGTAGTAATCTTCTGCTTTATTGTTTACATTTATTCAAACTTTACTTCCCACCGCATCGCGTGGGTACTCG